TATTCCCTGCCCAAATCTGCTCTTCCTGAAGCAAGTTCGGCTAATGCTTAAAATCACTCTGTGATCTGTACGACACTTTAAAATGCACTAGAGCAGCTCTTCTCTCAACATCATTAATATTCTTTATTGCATCCCTTACCAAAAAGTAGTATACTTCAAGTTTATTTTAGTAAGTATACTTAAGTAAAGTTCAAGTATATTTTTAAGTATACTTTATGTAGTAAGTATACAAATATCAGTGTACTAGTAGTATACTTGTAAGTGTACTATTTCAATACTCCTTGGGACTAAATTGGCCCACTTTCTAATATATAAAAGTATACTTTTAAGTATAACAGTAGTAAACTTTAAGTACACAACTAGTTTACAACAACTTGAATGTGGGTAAGTTTCATAAATAAAAAATAAAGAAATAAACAACATTTTGAACAAAAAGCTGAAAAAAGACTATGAATTGGATTCAGAATGATAATCAAAACGAAGATAACACCCCGAACTCGATTAACACCCCAAAGCTTGACAGTTATTATTACCTCTTTATTGGTCGACATTTTATTCCATAATGTTACATTTTGATACTGTTTTATGTCTGATGATCGTGTTAGTTTACATGTTGAAGCATCTGTTGTTTCGGTTTCTTCTTCACTTGTGTTTTTTGGAAATTCTGTACAGAAGATGTGTACTAGCGCCCCCTACAGTATAACAATGAAAAAACGGATTCTAGGAGCACAATTATAGCTAAAATATATTTAGACTTTTTCTAAGTATAAGTCAAGTATACTTAAATGTCATTTTAAGTATATTTCTGAGAAGTACAGAAAGCCCATTTCTGAGAAGTACATAAAAAGTAGACTAAAAGTATACTTTCCTATTTTTAGTTTATCAAGTATACTTAAATGTCATTTCAAGTATATTTCTGAGAAGTACATAAAAAGTAGACTAAAAGTATACTTTCCTATTTTTAGTTTAAAAGAAGTATACTAATAGCACACTTGAATAAACGTCTTTTTCGTAAGGGATTGCACAGTTTATAATCTCTGTTGATCAGGAGATCTCATCTTAATCATATAAACCCTTTAGTGGATGGGGAATATTATGTATTAATGAGCTATCAAGATCGACAAAGCCCATGCAACCTGAATATCAATACCCCTTGAATACTGCATCAGAAAATAATTGATTTACCCACGTTCAGCACAAGAAGAGTCAAAACAGTGTGGAGTGCAACTTTATTTCACGTTGAAGAGGTTGTAGTTAACCGGAGCATGGACAGTTAAATGCCTCTGTCCATGAGTCATTAGCAGCTGCAGAGTGACACCAAGTAGACGAGTCCCCAAAGAGCTCGGCCCAGGAGACACTGAGACATCACAGAGCTGGAGGTCGGCATGGCAATGCTTAGCCTTGAACTCTGAGAGAGATCCAAGAGAAGTGGTTGCTTTCTTTGAATTAAAAAAAACCTTTAGAGACTGGCTGCAAGTCTGAGACCATATCTGCCCACATACAGTACTCGTTGAGGTTTGAGTATACTATTAATCCCTTAACAGGGATTACGGGCTAGAGACCCGTTGCAATATTAATGTTTTTTTTCCTCTACCCAAACTGCAACTGAGAGCATGCTATAAAACATCAAGGCTGCGTTTATTTGATCAAAAATACAGCAAAAACAGTAATATTGTGCAATATTACTACAATTTAAAACAGCTTTTTTTTTATTTTAGTATATTTTTAAATGGAGTTTATTGCTGTGACAGTAAAGCAGCCATTATTCAACTCTTCGGGGTCACATGATCCTTCAAAAATCATTCTAATATGCTGATCTGGGGCTCAAGAAACATTTCTTATTATTATCAATATTCAAAACAGTCATGCTGGTTAATTTTGTTCTTTGATTAATAGAAAGTTCAAAGGAACAGCATTTATTTGATAAATATATTTTTGTAACCATTTAAAAGTATTTGCAGTTGCTTTTCTATCAATGTATTCCATCCTTACGTAATAAACTATTAATTTCTTTAAAAAAAAAAATCTTGCTGACCCCAAACTTTTGAACAGTAGTGTATATTTTTTTTAAATGACTTTAATTTGTTTTATATTCATCACATGCAACCTGAATTATGTTTATCATTTTTTAAAAATATATTTTTAAGATAAAGTTTGATGTTTTTTAAATATTTTTTACAGATGTTTTGTGATATATTTGCAACAATATGTTCCGTCAGTGTTCTGTACGATAATGATCCAAGATGAATGGTAACTCCTTGATCGGCCTACAGTTGCTATGGTTACCATCCCAGGTGAATGATTTCTGTGAGCACCAGGTGACCCTGACTAATTTGTAAAAATCAAACTTTTAGTGAAATTTTATTGAAATTTGTTTGTTTGTTTATATGTATGTGCATCATTTCTGCATTACAAAAGAATAATGATTGTTTTCAAATAGGTTTCCTGAAGACTCCCCCTGTGTATTATTGTTTAAATAAACTGGTAGTCCCGCAATAGTCATAATTTGTGCAATTCCACTATTTGGTACTAAAGAGTTCATATTTAAATAGTCACTGTAAGTAGATGTGTAATAATTTGGCATATATTGTTTTGTTCACATGCAGTCAGCCTTGCTGCAGACGTCGTTTTTATCTTTTAGTGATTTAGCGATTATGTATGCAGCACGAGAAGTCAGCAAATGTGTCTCAGTGCACAAAGACAGTGAAGAAGCTGCTGTTCGCTGCTCTCCTTTCAAGGCTGTTGCTCTTTTCCCCGCTGTCTTTCCTGCAAGTTAATCCCATCAGGAATTCAATTTACTTCTCTTTTAATTATCGCCTTTGAATTGACTATTTTAAAAGGAGAAGATTTTCTCCAATCCCACTTACAACAATTAGGGCTTATGCGTGGATAATGAAAATTTTTAAGGGATCAAATGTGGAATTCATTTGTAGAGGGGCCTGAATCTGTTTAATGTAGTTCCTTACAGTGTAACCCTGAGATTGGTATGCAATACAAGTTGTCACAATAATTAAGTAAATAAAAAAATGACCAACTTAAATGAATGCAGCAGCTGTCAATAGCGCTATATTTTTCCCCAAACAGTCAAATGTAAGCAGTTTACCCTTATTTGAACAGTCAATGTTCGACAACAGGCTTGTTAGCTTGTGCCACCTAGTGGATTAGCATCTTCCATGTGGACATGCGGTGACGTATCTAATAACAAATGATTGATTTCCCTCCCCAACAGTCTCACAAATTGGAAGCTTTACTGCATTAAAACTTCACCGGCCCTAAACACACAGCCAGAGCATTTCGATGGTCGTAGCATGTCCGCTAACAGTCGATGTGAATGCAATCTGCCTCCCACGGTGAGGATATGAGTGCTAAGGAAGATGGATTCATTGTAGATGTATTTCTCAAGCAGCTGTGCATGAGAAATCACACTGCTTGTGTGCTGATGCTGCTGCCTTTTTCCTGTCTTTGAATTGCATGAACATATGCAAAGCAGCTATAGTCACACAGCAACACACACAGACATGCACCTAACAACCCCGTCACACCAGTGTCAAAACATGTCACGCTCTCCACCTTGCCATTCTGTCACAGCAGACAGAGGGTGCCATCGGGAGTTAAGCATGTCAATAAGCCCCTAACATTGATCAAGACACTTACTGAACAGCTTATAAACTCCCAGGCGCAGGTGCCTGGATAGATCAGTCTTCTGATCCTACTTAATTGAGGAAAATGTGATCAGTATTAAGGCAAGGAGGTGGGGGAGACTAACTCCAATCATGACATAGAGCAATGTGATCTCATTAAAAGACATATACAGTACATAATTTATCAGCTAATGCAACTGCTTCATAAGGGTTTCTCTTAGATTGTATTTGGCAACTGTGTTCTGTGATGAGCTCTTGTGTTCCTTGCAAAACCACTCATCAGGATTTTTGCTCTACTGATGTTCTGTGTGGGGTTTTGTAAGACATGCTTAAGATGTGTCAGGTTGATATTTCTCAGCTATGTAATGACATTCATCTAACGTTTTTTAAATGTTAAGTTTAAAAAAAATTTTTTCAACTTTTGTCAAATTATAAAATGGAATGTTCCTCTTAATGTTTGCATAACAATAAATAAATAAATTAAAAACATAAAAAACTGGACGTTTTGAATGTTCAGAGAACATTCAGAAATAAAATTAGCATAACTTAATGGGAAAGTTAGGAAAACGTTCTTAGAACATATTTTTGTTAGCAGCTGCTTAATTGACCTTTAAAAATGTTTTTACTGAATGTTTATTTTTTTAGGTGAAAAACAAATGCGGTAATATCTAAAGTAAGTGGTTTTGTTAAAGTCAAAAATATTTATTTATTAAGCTGAATCAACATTCATGTTTAAGATCAGATTGTGTAGAAAATCAAGTAACAGCAGGCACATAGTAATATGTTGTTACTCTACTATTTTTGTTACTCTGTAAGTTTTTAACATCCAGATTTATGGATGGCACAAGGAATTCCGAGAATGCCAATTTGCCCAATTATTTTTACAAAACAATTTTAATATTTTACCATACAAGTATTGCCTTGCTGAACATGCGTAATATATATGTTCTCCTTAGATAAGGTTATTTATAGTTCTTAGTTTATTTTATGGTATGCTATTTAATATTTACAGCTAAAGCATCCCGCCCGCTTGAATGCCAAATGAATAATAAATGGCCACATTTTACTGCAAGTTTACGTTTCTGCCATATCAGCTGTGTCCTCGTATCCCAAATGTCAAAGCCTCAGCCCTCCGTGACACAAAGATGATGTGATTTGTGTGACTCTTTGGGAGCCCTCCAGCATAGTATGTGGGAGGTGCCCACCCCTTGCCACACGAGCAGCGCGGGCTCATGTTGATCTAAAGCAGGAATCAGCGGGGACCGAGTGTGGATAGCGCGATATCTCCAGCTGAATGCTGGCGCTCGCATATTCTGCCATTAAGCGGCACTTTTTGGAGATCCGCTCCGTGTTATTCGGATGCTCGGTTCATTGAGCGTCTCGCAGAGAGCCAGCATCACTCTGAGGAAAGGAAGAGACTGATGTATCACAGTAAGTGCGTCTTTAGTTATCAGCTGTGCATCGCTCCGTCACACTGAACTCGGGTTTATATTGCTTCTCTAGCTGCACTTTAAACATATGTGGAGAGTGAGTATGCCGTTGCACGTTTCGCCTTGTGTTTTTGGTTAGCGTCGTATTTTCTTCAGTCCTTTACTTTGAGAAGGGACACATGCACACTTTGACGACTGCTCTCTCCATTTATTATAAGATATTTCTATGCATGCGATAGACAAGCAAACCACTGAAGAACAGTTCATTATTATTTAAGATTATAATTGTGAGTAGCAGTCCTAATGACTTATGATTAGATTGATGACAAGATTATTTCTTGTTAGAAAGACAATATGTACAGTAGTGAACTAAATGATTACTTGGAATGACTATTGGAGTAGTAGTACTAGTAGAATAGTAGAATTATTATTTAGTTGGACATACAGTATATTATTATTGTTAGTAATTATA